ATGCATACATATATTTGTATATAAGTACTTACATCCGCTAAAGAGTTTATTTCCACGTGTGCTATTATTACTGGTGCATCGCCACGTACATGAAAACCGAAGCTATCAATTTCATCTTTATAGTGTGCGCAATCCTCTTTATGTTCGTCATGCGGTGTCGGACAGTGACACTGATATATTGTACTTTCGTGATATAAACTAGAGCCTTTTTGTAAGCGTACACAACGTGGCGCTGTCCAGTAACGACGTGCAGAAAATATGGCTATTGGACCAAGGCGTTTGAATGGATCTTCTACTTTATGTGAAGTAAAATCTGGACCCGTAAGTGAAAGTGTGAATTTTGAGCAAGCTATTAAAAGAATAAGATATAAAATATATCTTAAAATCTGTCTTATTTTAAATTGGAAAAATTTCAATACCTTCAACTGCCACGTCAAGAACATCGAAATCCTCTTCAATTTCTCTTTCAGGTATTTCTTCCATAAATTTTTCATATTCATCTTGCGTCTTATAAAATGCTTCCTTTATGACTTGTATTAGAGAGGTTTTGTTCTAAAAATGTGAAAATAATAATTTAGATTAAAAGAGAAAAACTACATCTCAAAACCGTTAGAGGTTATATTAGTATACAGATTATATTATAATAGAAGATATAAAAATAAATTTAAAATTAAAAAATAGTAATTTTGTTTTTTTTTCGGTGGTATTAAGCTCTACGACATTAGCTCGGTTTGGTAAACGTGTTTGATTCGGTTTCTTGTCGAACATTGAAACTCCGACGGGAGTAGTGAGTGTGTTTTAGTCTTCGGTATTCATTCGAGACTTTTTTTACTTATATTCAGTTGTTTTTAGCACCAAGTTACTGTTTGGAACTACAAGTAACCGGCTTCTTTTTTCACAGTCTTTTGTTTACTCAGGCTGCCATGTGCTGAATTCCTATACTAACAGCGAAGATACCAGCAGTTCCATCCCTTCCGGCTTTAACACGACCGTTGAATGTAAACCCGATTTTTTAGTATTAACTTATTTAATTATGTGAATAAATAAATGTGATATTTTCAGTCAATGATGACACACGTTTCCTTCTTATTACAGTAGGTTGGGTTAATATCATTTATCAATGTTAATTCATTAATAATTATATATTTAAATATTTAAAAATCAGCAAACCGAACCCAATTTATATAAAAATGCAGGCGGCATTATTGGAAATATTTCTTTGGATATTGAATAAAACTCGCTTACCTTCAAATACCGACACATGCGCTGCAAGCGTTGCGCTTCTTCATGACTAGCCAAAGATTCTTTAAGATGGGTGCGTTTCATAGCTGCGGCACTAGCACAATCCTCCTCACTTTCATCAATGGCAGCCGCTGCGCGCAATGCCTCCCGCGCATTGCCAATAAAAGATTCATTCGATGAGGGAGCTTGACTCTTTTTTGTGCTCAAAGATGTTTTGTCTGCAGCTGCATCAATACTACGAGCTTCGTAATGATGAGACAATGCTATAAAAATGAAACAACAACAACAGCAACAGCAGTTGTAAATGTAATTGAAATTGAAATTTAAATTGAAATTCAATTGTTAAATTATTGACGCCGTACTGCTTAAGAAGTCATATACATACGCCTCGTAAACAATTCAACGGCAAGGCAGGCAACGTGCCGATTGGGCATGGATGCCCATGGAAGCAAGATTTACAACTCACCTTTGTAGAATTCAGCTTTAAGCGGTACTAGACCAGCCCAGCATTCCGGCAAATATGTGTGTGTATCATTTGTTTGTATATTTTTGTGCATTTCATTGTATTCCAATGTTAGTTGTGCTGCTTCGCCAGCTAAATCTTTGAAAAGCTATAAAAATAAATAAAACACGAAAAATAATTAAACCATTAAAAAATAAATAAAAACAAAATGCATAAAATAAGTACAAAATTTAGTCCAAAAGTCATTAAAAAGTTTATATACCATTAGTTATTAGTCTTTTAAACTCACATGACTCGATTCCGTTAAGCCCAAAGCTTCAATTTGTAGCTGCAATTTTTCAAATAGGCATTCACGTGCTTGTGACAACATCAATGAAACCAATACGTCGAGTACCTGTGGCTTCAAGTCCATGGATGGTGCATTTGTGAAAGTATCGTAAATATGCCGAAAAATACCAGCAGCACGTAGGAAACTATCCACAGCTGCATCGAGTCCCTTTTCAGTTGTGCGATCATGTCTTGCACCGATTTGTGTGTAAATTGCACCCAAATTGAAAAGTGTGCATGCCTTTTCGAATGCAATGGTGCGTTGACAGGAGGGAACACCTAAAATTATTAAAATCAATTTAAATATACAAAATAAGAGTAATCAGTGATTAACTCCAATAACGTACCTGTTAGTGAATCATACCACTCGAAGTATACTCCCAAATTTCGATCAGGCGGAAAGAATCTTCTTTCGACGTAATACAATAGATTGTAATACCGGAAGAGTAAGGCAACACCTTGTGCATCACGTGAAGGCGTTTTGGAAGCCTGTAGAAAATTGAAATGAAAAACAATAAACAGTATATAATAAAAGAATTAATAATTAAATATATTATTATTAATTTTATTAATAATTTTATATAATTATTTATGTATTATTATTTTCTTTTGCATGAGAGTTGCAAAAGAACAGAGGATTATATAAAGAATTTCTCATAATATAGGGAAAACTAGTCCCATTTTTATGAATTGATGAAAAATTTAGTGATGTCGCATAATGGGAGGGGAAGGAACTAAATAGAACGTTAGTGATGAAAGCTCCAACATTTTGGGATATAAGTCTAAAAACGGTTATATTTAGTAAAGGGCAGGACTACAGTAACGCTGCACTAACAATGAAGTAAAGTAAACGACAAATATTAACTAACGCACTATAAAGTTCTAATTTTATATAGTATGTTAGTAAGCAGTAATCTACAACTGCGACATTATAAAAATAAAGTTTTGACATTCAAGAAGCCTTTAGTGATATTAACCATTTGTCTATTATTAACTATTATATATATTGTGCACTGTATAGATTGTTTTATTTTATAAAGATTTTAGTAAATAAAACTATTTATATATATATATAACATAACAGAAATTTAATACATTTATATATATAAAAATATATATTTATAAACCATATATATATTTATAAACCAATATACATTTACATATTTATATCAGTATAACAATATATATTTGTATATATAACAGTATATATTTATATTTTCATAAATATTTTACTATATAAAATATTATATTTTAGTCCTTTGACTAAAATATAATTTTCTAGGCGATTTTAAACCCCGAGTTTCTTTATTATACGGTAACATAATGGGCCAATAGGCCTGGTGTCTTAGACCAATAGGCCCTAGGGATTGCCGGTATAACCTAACCTAATCATTATTTTATATATATTTTTAATATATGCTTACCTGTCTTGTATCTGTTATATCAGCAATAGCATCCATGTATATAGAAGGCTCTTCACTATAGTGTTCCAAAATAAAATCCGAAAATGGATCCATAAAACTAATTTCTTTCGTTTCTTTTAAACCAAGTGGTATCATAGGCATTACACCGTCATGACTGTAAAAAACAAAAAAAAAATAAAATCAATTAAGTTATATAAATATAGACTTAAAATATATGTAAAGCGTTTTCTTGTTTAGATTTTTAAAATGGCAGATATCAAAAAGCTTTTAACCGTACTTTTATGTTACGATCAATAAGGTTTTATTAAAAATAAATCGTAATCGAGATATATTCTTAATATATATATATATCGTTATCATATTCATTTAGAGCTATAATCCTGGATGTGTTTTGGTTTTTTCTTTAATTTTATATGGTATTATATCTTCCAACTTTGACTTAAGGCTTTCTTGGATATGTTAAGAGTAATTCTAAATATGTGATAATTAATTAAATTTTCAAAAGAAAAATTAAAGAAAAATGAGAAACAGTCTTAGGCTGTAGTCATTTCGTTAGCTTATATTTGGGAAATATTGTATGAAGATTTAGGCATGGGAAAGACTTTAGCATGTTGGGTTCCAGATTATCTAATCAACATCAACATTTGCTTAAATAGTTTTCTCAAAGTAAACCTTTTTTTACAAACTTATAAATTCTTATAAAACTATACTTCGGGAGTAAAAAAGAATGTCAATATAGTTGATTATTTGATTGATTGATTAGATTATATATGGAAAGTATTGCATGAAGATTCAGGTATGCGAGGGCCTTTAGCTTATCAAATGTTAAAATAATTGACTCAAAAAAGTGAAAGAGCTTTGAAGGTTTTCCATTCTGTATGCAATGGAACTGAAATTGTTGGCAGGTCACCTATTGGATCATCATGGCCTGTATTATATTTTTGCTGTAAAGAGAATGGACCTCATTTTCGGCATTGATCTAGGTCAGCAGAAGATTGCTAGGTACCTAAATTCCTATTCTCGTTCAAGGTTACGATATCCTCAACAGTCGACATTTCGGCTTTTATTTGAGAGCCTGTTCAGCTAAGTTGGGTAACTAACACAAAAGACCAATCATGGTCCTGATGTTCCACTCTCTGAGAGCCAGTACTTACTTATTTTGTATTAATTTTTATTTCATTATTTTTTAGTGGGTGTTTGACCAAAACCTCTGTAATATATTTATGTTAAAGTTGTTACTAATGAAAATAAATATAAAATATTTGATTTGTTTTTAAGCTCATATATACTGAATAAGATCATAATCCCGAATTGTTGTTACTACATTTAAGCTTATATAGAAAATCTGTTGAATATTTCACTATATCAAATAAAAAAAAGAACTTAACAATGTTGTCTGCCATTATAAAAAATTAAATTTTTCCACTTAAAGAGCGTTGCCTATAGTTTATTCTAGCATTTGGATTCCCACAATTAGATTTTCTGTGACGAAGACCTAAATTATGGGATTCGTGTCAACTGAACATTTTTTTTTGCGCAAATAAGATTTCGCTACTTGCGGTTACAAGCACGAGTACTCGTAGTTGTAGAAAAAGAGGCTGTGAGTGAGTGAAGTCAGAAGTACTAACCCACAGTAAAAGCAGTTGTACGTTTGGATAAATGTATCGGTTATGACAGCTAACAAGTGAGCTACAATTTAACCTTCTTCTGCAGATAAGAATTGGTAAAAGTGGCTTACTGCATTTCGCGTTGAGATACAATGTTACAATATTCGTACCAACTAAATAAGTAAGAAATGAATGGGTTACTTAATGGAAAAAGTTTTTTAATATAAAAGCAAAGCCATAATCCAAGTATTGTATAAATGTAGAGGCAGAATCATCGAGTAGCACACCTTAATTTGAGATTGGCAAAATAAATGATGCCATTGTTATTATCGAGACATTTGCATACTATATGTGCATCTCAATTAGCAGTTGATATATGCAAACTACAATGTGACTGGCTCCCTTTTACGTGGCAGCAAGCAGTGAAGGTGTATGGCACCAATGCAGTATTATTTAGACTTAATCCGAATGAAAATATTGATGCTTATTTGTTTTTTGCCAATTTCATTAAATAAACTCAATATGAACTTAAGGAATGTAGGGCATTACAAGAATAATAACCATAATTTTGCTAAGTAATAAAAAAAGTAGCTTGTGTACAATTGCGTTTCTTCGGGCCGTTTTATTATTGCTGACATTATTATCTTTTGTCAACAGAGTCGTCAGCAACAACAACAATAACCACAAAAAACTTCTGCTGTTGGAAGAAAATCACAGATAAACGCATTTTTTTTTAAATTTTTATTTATAATTTTGTTTTTCTACAGATTGGCTGGGTGACGGCTTTAAAATTTATATAAAAAGATTCCCCAACAATTTCATAAGAAAAGGCAATTCAATAAAAGTGGCCACTGGTCACACTGGCTGTAAAAATAGGTTAAGGGGTTTTATGTGTATGTTTGTATATGAACTGTGTTAATAACTAATAAGTATTATTATTAAGGGCCAGAATGCTGAGAAGTGACTTACTAAAACCTGAAAATATTTTTAAAAAATTTATTTCTAAAAGAAGCTGATTTTAGATTCTTTCATACATAAAAATGACCGGCCACACCTTTTGAAAGAACTTAGATACTTTTATGTCAAAGTGCCTGTCTGTACCTTTGTCATAAAATATAACTTTATTATTTATTTCTATATTGTTTATCGTATCGGATAACTTCAAAACAAATTGAATGATGCTTAAGTCTTGGTCTTTTCCTTAGAAATTCAACTAACATACCTCACTCGTAATTTGCTTCTTCATAAGTTATTTTTATAAAAATTAATTTTGATGTAACACTTAAGTTATATATGCTTTATATACCTAAAAATGTTTATACATTAATAACTGTCTATGAAATTTATTCACGTATTTATCGTCTTTAGCCGTAAATATCTGCTTACTAACTTTTTCTAGTCAACAATAATGAACAACTTCTTATATATTGTTCAAATTTGACATATCCCAAATGTTCATCCGCAATATAAAAAAAAAATTGTCCAAGAGATCTTGTTTAGGCTATACCCACGGTTGCCACTTATGGTACCCAACTTTATTGTGGATATTTCCAATTAATTTTTTTTATAAATGCAACTTTGCACTATTTTATATTTTGTTCATTTATAACACTATGAAAAACACAGAACGAGAAAACAAAAAGGTCCAAAAAAATTTTGGACCTTTTTTTACAGAAATGGTACCTTTTTAAACCAATTTTGGTACAGAAAAAAATTTTCAAGTGGCAACTGTGGCTATACCATTTGGTTTAGCATACACAAGGTTAGGGAAATATATATCATTATATCAAATTTGGCAGTTTTGGGATTTGTTCACCTGCAATATATAAAAAAATTGTACAGAACGCAGTGGCGTAACTACAGGGAAGCAACTGGAAGCAACGCTTTCGGGCCCCCGAATTTAGGGGGCCCTACTATAAATTTTTGTATTCATTGTATTTCTTTTTAATAAATTCTCAAAAGTGGGACGAAACGTTTTTTGTTGGAATAACTTCATATTGCATTTTATAAAAGATACGTAAATTTTAAATTTAAAGTACATAATATGTATGTACTTCAAATAAAATATTAAACCTATTAATGAAATAAAAAAGTTTTTCTAAGAAAAATATGTGTCTTGATCGAGAGTTTATATGGAAGCTATATCTAAATTTAAACCCATTTGAAAATAATTTTGTACGTTGTCTTTTGCAAATATCAGTACTGTATACACCATATTCCATTTGAATACCTTTATTAAAAACGGAGAAACCTCATATCCGATTGTTAAGTTTATATCACAGCTACAAGAAATAGATGTCCAATTTCAATCAAATCAAATGGTGAACAGGGTGCGCTCCCGAAAAGTATGTGTATAAAGTTTCATTCGAAGAGTTCAAAAGCTGAGAGAGTAGTTTGAACTGTAAAAGTATACTGATATATACTTAATGGTATTTCCGAAGTTTCCTTTAATGCGTTACGAAAATCTTGACAAACCTTATATACCCTTTTTACATTTTTTCGTGTAAAGAGTATAAAAAGAGGGGCCCCTTAGTATGTTGGTAGGGGCCCCTTAGTTAGAATTTGCTTACAGGCCTAAAAAATGTAGTTACGCCACTGACAGAACGTTTTTGCATTGGAACTAACATTTTTGTATTTAAAAACTTTAAGATTAGGATTTCATTTCAGGACTAAGATTAATTAAATATCATGTATATCTAATCACCGCCCATATATAAACGTAGAAAATGGTTTGATACCGGACGAAATTGTAAATTGATTCTATTCAAATATTTTCAATTAAACTAAATAAATGCTACGCAATTTATTCATTAACGTTTTTATATGCTTTGTTCACTGAAGTAAATAAGAATTATAAAATAAAATATGTTGAATTTACTTCTACGTATATTCAACCATTTTTTATATACATTAATATAATTCCGATTGAATTTCTATGATTAATAATTCAAAAATATTTTATAAACTTTGTAAACTAAGCCCAATGAAACAACAAAAAAAAAATTAATGATAAATATTATATATAGCCATTAAAAGCAGGCGGAGGTCCCATAAGAAGTAAACGGATTCTATTTAAATATTTTATATTAAACTAAACAATTACAGTATTTGTAACATTCAGCAACATTTTTATAGGCTTTGTTCAGTGAAGTAAGTAAGAATTATAAAATAAAACATGTTAAATATTACTCGTGTGTATATCCAATCAATTTCCATACACATTATATAAATTACAATAATTTCTTATGCTGATTGTATGGGATTAAATTTTAAAGATCTTGTAAAATCTTGAAAATTGGAAAGTATTTACTACTTTTTTAACTTTTTTTAAAGGATTTACTACTTTTTTACTTTTGAAATTCGTGGTCAAAGACTTTTCTTTGTAATATAAAAAAATATTTTATTACATTTAAACATTAAAAGTAATGTTTATACTTTTTTGTAAATCACATCTATTATCTAATGAGGTTGTTACATTACTCACCTCAAGAAGTACCGATTTATGAATAAATATATATCGGGTGCTTTTTTTAGCTGCATGAGAACTTAAAATGTTAATACAAGATAAATTGTTGGAATGAAACTTTTTGATTATAATTTGGTAAGTAATTTCATGGCACTTATTTTTTGAATATGATTTTAGGCATACGTCCGCCGCGGCTGTGAGTTACATGATCCATTCGAGTAGTCCAATTTTTAAATATATTTTGCAATAAATATAACGTCAATGGTGGCATGAGTATTGGCTTTTAAAACTTCAAGAGTTGTTGGTTTTTCAGCTTAAGCCAATGACTTAACATAGCCCCATAAAAAGGTGATTATTAAAGAGAGGCGTTAGATCGCACGAACGGGGATGTCAGTTACCAGAACTGCTTCTAGAAATAAAGTTGTTCGCAAATTGATTTTGCAATAAATCGATTGTTAAGCGTGCTTGAGGCAAGTTGCGCTGTTTTGTTGGAACCAAATGTTGGTCGATGTAACCGATGTTTAACTAAATTAATTTTTGGAATAATTTTTTTATTATCAAAAAATAAATTCTCTCTATTAACATATGGGTTGTTCAATCTCTATGAAAACCAGCATTTTTAATAATTAAACGGTTGAAGTGACAGTGTCGATCACAGAGTGTTTCACACATATTCGGCGTTGCAAATTTTCTTTTGTTACTAGCAGAGAGAATGCTTTTCTACTAAATTAGTAAAACTAATGCTAATCATTGCCTTTAAACACTTCAGTATAAATGTTTCACGAATTCATTACAATATCTCTCTTAATATACCTGTAGGTTTCAGTTATTATTAATAATTAAAAAATGAAAATTAAGAAGTCTAGTAAATGAGTTATTAGAAAAATACAGTATAGAAAATTTTTTTTTTATTGAGATATTTTTGCTTTATAAGGCCGGTTGCCTAACCTCAATAAATTTGAAACCACAATTTTCTAACTATTATAAAATGGTTTATGTTTATTGGATATCTTTAGGTTTGGCAGTGGTATATAGTTGTAGGAGGCAAACTCCTGAAAATATGCTGGATATGCAAGCAATCTATTAGGGAATTTAGTTTCGTCATAGCAGATATGAAAGTGTGCAGCTTTATATTATATTGATGAAAGAATACTTTAGGAGTA